ATCCCTGGGCCATGGGTCCTCCCATGGTCTTGCCAAATGCCATGGGTCCCCCCATGGTCTACACATAAGCACACATATAGATCCAATAGTACATAATTACATATTCCAACACAAATCATCTCATAACCATTAATGGGTCGGCCTTGGTGCCTTCGACCCATGAGTATGGTGAGAAGACTCACCTCGGTCTGCTGAACACGATAGATGCGCGAATATTATCCCAAATCTCTAACTGTATAAATATACCAATTAACCTAATTAGATTTATGACACAACTCAGCTACGGGCCTAACATCATAATCTTTGGCCCACTATTGAAGCCCAAAAGTCTATCCTACCATAATGGGCCCAAGATCAAGTCCAAATTATAATGGGCCACATGGCCCAATCAACACACCAAAAGCCTAAAGCAAATCCCAAGGCCCAACACCATCCTAACGGTCCAGGCCCAATGCTAAGAGAAGTCCACATGGTCTGCAAAGTCCACCGCGGCCCAACTATCACAGCTGAGCATACGCCCAACGTTTAACAGAAGTACGCTAAGCGTACTGGGTTCTTTGGTTGTACGCACGGCGTATAGGTTGGTACACCCAGTGCACAAATAGAATAAGCACATTCTCTATTAAGTGCTTAATGCGTGAAGTCCTTACGTTCCAAACTCAGGTTTAGGTCATCAGAAGAGTCCTAAGGTATAAAGTTGGCAACTTTATGCCTTTGCATGCCCCATAAGCTCCCAACAACCCTTTCCAACCCATTAAGACCTTTCCAAGGGTCTTAATTCATGCATGGTGGCAAAATAACCAACAAGTCTGCATTTTTATGACATGAACGAGCTAAAGGACCTCATATCTACCCTCCCTAATCCCTAGAGTTGGTCAAACTCCGAAGAAATGATTCATGAACTCAAAAGGGGACTACATAGAAAACCCTAGCTCTATAAATGACAATGATAACCAAGAAGAAAGCTTTTTACCTCCACAAGCTTCCTATGCTGCTCTAAATGCAAGATCCAGAAGCCTTTCCTTCGTTCAAGCTTGCTTCCACTTCTTCCCTTGAGCTAACACGCCAAGAATATGATATTTGAGGCACTCTCAAACTCAAGAAACACAGTATTGATTTTAGGGTTTTAGGGACGTTTGAGAGTGATGGAGGCTGGCTAGGGTAATGTCCAAATGACTTAAGGGTGCTTAAATAGGTCACAAGTCCGAAAGTTAGGGTTTGGCCATCAGCCACGTATGCCCTGCGTACGCAATGCTCCTTCGCGATCCTTCCTCCACAGTACGCCCAACGAACAAAAAGGGCCCATTTTTGCAAAATAAATTGATTTAAAGGAAGGAAAGGTGATAACCTCGATTGGAGTGTTACACGGTGAGAGGAAAACGATGACAACAATTCTGAATTCTGATAGCAAAGTTAATGGTGCATCAATTGTAAAAGGTAATTGTTGAAAATTTGATATCTAAACTTCTGTAAATTTGTACGATTTAGGTTGAGATTACTATCATAAAGTTGGGAATATATTTGTTCTTGATTTTCAGTGGGATTTGTCATTGATTTAGTAGTATAATTGACTTTCCTTATATGTATTTCATGAATCTTATAGGTGGATTACTATATGAAATTCATTCATTCTGTTGAATGTACAAAGTAAGTGGCAAATATTCAGAATTGAGAGTTATAGGTTTTAATTTTTTTGCCCTAACATGCTATTGTTGATAACATTTTTTCCACAAGTTGTTTGGTTGAGCTTAAACAATAGCCCTTGGGATATTGACACTAGGGCTTATTAATTACTAACAAATAATGTAATAGTTCATCTTTAAATGTTGGTACCATAATGTACTACCATCTATGTGCATGCTCCACAACCACATGCATTTTCCTCGAATCCCTTCTTCTTCTAAGTATCATTTCAAAATAATTCAATGTCAACAGAAGGGTAAACTCGTATTAAAAAAAAGCCGATTCGGATTATGACCTGTTTTCGGGTAAAAGAATTGTTCTAATCGAACCGTTATGGTTTGGATGAAAACCAGATTAGAAAAACTTATACATGCACCATTTTTTTCTGCATTTTGACAAACTTGATTTAGGTGTCAGAATTGTGGTAGATCAAAGACAGCCTAATAAGTAAAACTCATTGTTATGCGAAGATGAAATATGTTATTTTCAACCATATATGATCGTTTAAGGGGTCAAACAACAATATACCTAAGGAAACAATAAGCATAAATACATACATTTAAAAAATACAACTACTTTATAAAGTTCATAAGCAACAGATTGCAAAATTTATTTAAGCAATAATATATGAACAAAAGAGGATATAATGTCGAAATATAAACTGCAAAATAAAAATTATACAAAGCTACCAAATCCCAGTTGCATTATTTAATAAAAAAGTTAAAGATAACATGAATCATATTCAAAGTTCCAAACATAGTAAATACTGAAATCCCAAATAAAATGCAAGTAAATGCAGGAAATGTTTAAAATAAATGTATCAGAACACAGGAATGAGCAACAAAGAACGATTGAAGTTTATGTCTTCATAAATAGGATCACTTTTCCACTTTAGGAATCAACAATTTTGTGGTTCCAACAACTTTGCCATCTCCAATAGGGTGTGCATTAGGTTTTGTTGCTGATTCAGAAAAATCATCATCAAGATCATAAACATCTACAAGTTTACGTTTGATAGAGGAGTATTTTCACCTAGGAAGTAGCATCCTTAAGTTACAAAAGAAATAATGTTAGTTTAGAATGACGTATTTATATGTAAAAAAAAATGAAATGTATTAAAGTATACCTTACAAGCCACTGTCTCTTGGGAGGCAAATTTTGAGACCATTACATTAATAGACCATTAAATTAACAAATTCGTTATCGACATCCTATAAAATCATTGGTAAAATAAATGTTAAGACATGTATAAAAGAGTATGTTTAAAATCTTTATGCATTAAATAAATTATATTGATGTATTTTTTACGTGTTCAATCCTATTCTTCTTCTCAATCCTTTCCATAGCACAAATAATCTCAACATCATCCGTTACCTTGGAAATGTTGTAATTACGGCCATATCTTGCGAAATTAAAAGTCTTAACAACAATTTTGAAAGCCAATTTTTTTTCAAGCATGGTGTTCAACTCAATAGGAAAATCACTTGTTTTACCGACCTACAAAAAATATTCATTAATACTAACAATTAAACAAATGTATAAAAAATAACTTTTTATTTAGCAATATAGTATTGAGTATAAAAACATATGCCTTTTCATATCTTGATAATAAATCGGATGCAGATATGTTCATAATGTTTTTAACTTCACGATCAAACATTGTAAGAGTGACAACTCCAACCATACCTTGAACTCGAACTTTAATCATTAAACTACAAAAACATATAAAATACTATAAAGTTAATATAAATTTAAATATATTGAAGATTAATATAAAAAGTTTTTATTTGTTACACACCTTGGTTCAACAATAACAACTTGGTCTTTGCACTTGTCCTTTGGACACACCAAAATCTCTCTCTTTCAACAGGTCCAACCCATTGATTGTTTTAGGGATAACCTTAAGTGTTTGAACCTTCGTCTTGCAGTTTTTGCAAACAAGGTAGTACAAATGTTGTTGATTATCTTCAAACATCTTTATTGTAACAAAAATAACCGCATAACTTTCCTATGATATTAGGTGTATATCGGGTTTGTGATAATTAAGGTATGTATAAGTTCAATTTAAAGGGGAAAAAGTTATGTACCTCATTTAATTCATGAATAGCAAATATCCGGTAAAAAAGAGTTGTTTAGAAGAAAGTTATCATGTAGTGAATACATGATGGATGAACCCAACGTAAGTGAACCGAAGAAGTTGAAGAGTTTTATTATTATTATTATTATTATTATTATTATTATTATTATTATTTTCTGCTTTCAAACTATTTAACAAAACAAATGTTAGATTTCGTGAAATCGAATTAAAAAAAAAAGCATGAAAATGAAATGGAAAATTATGTGGAAATTTCATATAACCTTATTTTGAAAGGGGTTATTTCTTCAATGTTGTCTTCAATAAAAAGTTTTGTAGATAAGTAAGTGTTATTCACATATGGACGTTCTGAAAGAAAATTTGCATAAATCGCCACATCATTATAATTTAATATCTTAAATATGTTAATAATATAAATATTACAAAATTAAAATTTACTATATAGATACCTCGGACAAGCTTCAACTTAGCCAATTGAATAAGCAATATAAAATAGCTCGAATGCTTAAAAACATATGCCATCTTGAGTGTCATTTTCTTTTCTTGTTTGTTCGTGCTTTGTAGGTTCCAATGGATAACATTGGAAAACGTTACATATAACATATACATGATACACCAGGAAAGTGGTAAGTATTTAAAGTGTTTTGTTGGAAAAATGAAATATAAATATTATAATCCATTAAGAATGACTTTAAGGGAATGCACTAACCAAACGACATTTTTTGTGGGATGGCGTTATCACGAAGTGTTTGGAAGTCTGCAAAAGCAAAAGATTATTTTGGCCTACAAAAATCTGTGCATTTAGTTACCTTTGTGGTATACTAGAAATACATTTTGTGTGGACCGTCAACAAACTTGATACTATTTTGATTTAACCTTAATGTGAGTTTATGAATGTAGAAATCACCATATTCTACCAAAGATTTGCCTTGAAGTGATGCAAATTGTTTTGCCACATTGCATTGAATTTTCATACCCTTACATAAAAGTAAAAATATTAATTAATAAACAGTTTTAATATTCAAACTATAACTTACATATATAGAAACTTTAATGTAATTAAAATAAAAGAAAACATAAAAATTAAGAAATGCCCTTTCATCCATCAAAAGCATGCCAATCATATGGATTTGTTGAGGGTTATTCCAGAAAGTTTGTTTCCATAGTCGGATTATTTGGACCTTAATGGTGTAGTCATCTTGTGAGTGAGCCAAGTCACTAATCATGCTAACTTGGTGGGATCCATGAATCTGAGCAGGAATATAGTAATATTAATTTGAAAGGAATAGTTAGTAAATTGTAGTAGGGTAATAGAAAAATGAAATTTGATACAGGGAATAGTAACAATTAGTAAATTGCTAATTTGTGCAAAAGGTGACATAAATGCCCTGAACTCAAAATTGTACTTTATCTTTAAGCAAAAAATAAATCACAGAGAATTTGAAAAAGACAGTTGGTGGTTGATATGGAATCTAGTATATACTACTACTAACATCAACATGAACAAATGCATAACATAATCTTAATTTGATGTGTATCATAAGACAGTCACATACAAAAAAATTATAAATAATTTTTTTTCAATATTTTAGATGACTTGAGGATAACGAAAATTTACCAAAAACATAGCTATTTTTTAAGTCCAAATAATGCAAATCGACAACAACATTTCCGTCCAATCCCTTCTTCCACATATCACTTCAAAAGAAGTCAATTTTGACAGAAGGGTAAAATCATTTAAAAAAAAAAAAAAAAAAAAAAAAACTTATTCTGATTATGACCAGTTTTGGGGTAAAAGAATCGATCTTATAGAACCAATTATGGTTCGGATGAAAACCAGATTAGAAAAACTTATATATGAACCATTTTTTCTGCATTTTGAGTTTTTGACAAACTTGATTTAGGTTTCAGAATTGTGGTAGATAAAAAACAGACTAAGAAGTAAAACTCATTGTTATGCGAAGATGTAATATGTTTATTTCAGCCATATATAATCGTTTATGGGGTCAAACAACAATATACCTAAGGAAACAATCAACATATATACATAGATTTAAAAAATACAACTTTATAAAGTCCATAAGCAACTCATTGCAATCCAAAGTAAGCGATAATACTTGAAATCAGATTTTTTTTTTCAATATTTCAGATTACTTGATGATAACAAAAATTTACCAAAAACAAAGCCATTTTTTAAGTCCAAATAATGCAAATTGACAACAAGCATATGACACAGTAAAGGGAGGTACATTACATATGAATTTGATGTTTGAATCGACAAGTATAATTCAGATTAAGGGCAGGGGCATATTTGTCATCTATTTATGCTACAATGCTGATTATCAGAAAGTTAAACTTGTCTATAAACAGGATCAAGAAACAGAAATATAACGAAAGCAAAACAATTTAAAATGTCAATGAAAATGAATTTCTTTGAGGCATTTAATCGAACACCATAAATGAATTCAAACATCAACAAGGTTTTGAATATAAGAATTACATGAGAAGTCGACCAATGAAGGGAAAAGATTAGATTAATAAAATAACTGAGTTCATAAACAATAACAAATGTTTTGCAAAAGAAGTTTATCATTAAATGAAAATGATTTGCTAACCTTATGTAGATAGTGTATTCGATTGTGATGATGCAGTGTAAAGGTTTGTAGAATCCTTTATGACAATTCAAATACTGGTGGTAACAATAACATACGAATGAAATCGTCTTTATACATAATTTTGAAAATTGATTTTAGAAATGATAACAATACAGAAATACAGTATTTTGAATTCCTTTGATTCTAAATTGTATAATTATGGAATATCTATCGAAGATTAGCTGTGAAATCGCAACAGATGAAATATATAATGAATTTAAAAAATAATGAAAGATATGTTTTGTATATATAACAATTATGCTGAGATTTTAATACAATAGCTCACATATATAAGATACGCTACCAATGTAAGATGTTAGTCAAACTTATTTTTTAAATTTAAGGAACAAAAGAAAAATACAAGAAGAAATTGCCAAGTGGAAAAAAAGTAAAATGAAAATAATAAAAAAAACCCATGTGACATATTAAATTAGAAGAGGTCATCTCCCAAAAACATTTTTATTTGCCGAATTTAAATATAAGAAGCAATAGAGTGATACGTGACATAATATTAATTAAGAGGTGTAGTTTAGTGATACATGACAAAAAAAATCTATTCTTCTATTAGCATAAAAAGAAATAGAGGATAGAGGATATGAGCATGAGTAATGTGTGAGGATATGGGTGTAAATTCTACATCAATATATTAATGCCAAAAGTAAAGAAATATGTATATTAAACCTTACTTCAAGCTACAAAAGTATATATAATCATTACTAGGTTACAACCCGTGGTACCCACGGGTAAAAAATTTATAAAACATTTTTATTATTAATAAGAGTTCAGTTTGTTTAAAACTTTTTCAAACTTAGCAATCAGTGATGTGCATAGGATGTTGACAACTTTCACATTAGTTAAGCTTCAGGTTTCCATGGGTTGCATTACAATTTTCCCTTTTGGAACGGTTGTTTATGTTATTTTTTCACAGTAAAAAATAAATAATCATATGTTTTTTGATTGGTTGGGTTGATTATACTTACGCCCTCAATCCATTGTTTGAATGCTAATTTATGGGCTTTGAAATCTAATGAAAGCATCAAACTATGGGATTTCAAAGCATCAAAGTACTCTATATAACTAAAATAGGACTGATAACAGTAATGCCTCATGGGTTATTTTGTAGATGCCTTATACTTATATGAAAAAAAAATGTATCGAGCTACTTTAAAATCAAATAAGTGCATACTTTTACACCATCAATATACACATATGCCACACATCTATTAAAAGCAGAATAGTCTAATTTCAATCATAACTCAAAAAGGAGTCTTTAATTAAGATAGAGAATAACAGCGAAAATAAACCAAGAACTATCAATGTTTGAATAGTGAACACCATGAAAACCAATACTGCTAAAGACAAACCAAAAAAAAAAAAGCAAATTCAAGAATATTGTTGATTCAAAAAGGACAATGTGAAATCACTTTTCAAGCTTTGGTATCAAGAGACCTGTGTTGCCATCCACCTTCGAATTCAATCTAGGTACTTTGGTCGACGAATTCACATTATCATACTCATCAATATCAATGGAATCTCCAACGTTTCGTTTTTTTACCATTGGTGGTGAATTAAACTTGAACGGACTTGTAGCTTCAAATTTGTCGGGCATGGAAGATGTCAAATTATCACCGGTTTGTGAGATCGCATCCTTAAAGCGAAAACATGAAATAGTTTTAGTAATAAAAAATTTACAAAAATTACTTTTTAAAAGAGATTTATAAGTCATATGTATGAATCAAAATATTCCAAGGAAAATATAATACAAAAATTAATGAAATTCAGGTTTCAAATAACAAGGGAACGAAAATTATAGTTCATTCAAATATACACTTCAGATAGTTCATAGTCATATATATATATATATATATATATATATATATATATATATATATATATATATATATATATATATATATATATATATATATATATATATATATAGAGTAAATTACATGAATGGTCCCTATGATTTGGAATAATTTGCGCGCTTGGTCCCTAACTTATTTTTTTAACTCGGAAGGTCCCTACTGTTACTTTTTGTTACACGTTTGGTCCCTACTATTTGTTTTTGTTACACGTTTGGTCCCTGTCTTACCTAAACAGACTATTATTTAAATAGAGAAAAATGGTTGGGTAGGTAAGGTAATGTAAGGGGGTGGAATTTGAAGTGTGTTTATTTAAATAAATTAAAAAATCAAGGGAAAAATAGTCTTTTTAGGTAAGACAGGGACCAAACACGTAACAAAAAGAAACAGTAGGGACCTTCCGAGTTAAAAAAATAAGTTAGGGACTAAGCGCGCAAATTACCCAAACCATAGGGACCATTCGTGTAACTTACTCATATATATATATATATATACTCATATATATATATATATATATATATATATATATATATATATATCCTTCACATAGTTCATTCAGAAACTGAAAACTATATATATACTTCAGATAGTTCATTCAGCATTTAAGGTAAAGAGTAATTTTCTGTCAAATCTAATCCACCTGAAAGAAGGGTACAATAGTCATTTATATATATACTTCAGATAGTTCATTCAACACTTAATGGGAACGAAAATTACCATTATGTCCCTGTACAGAAAATAAAAAACTGGAATATATGAATTATATTTCAAAAGAAACCAGTGTATAATTGCACTTGGCAAGTAAGAACCTTCTGTACTATTGAAAACTGGAATATATGAATTATAGTTCATTCAGCACTTAATGGGAATGAAAATTACCATTATGTCCCTATACAGAAAATAAAAAACTAGAAAATATGAATTATATTTCAAAAGAAACCACCGTATAATATCATTATCAAGGACAACAAACATTCAAGAACGATGAGTGTACCAAACAGATGAGTGTACCAAACAGATTATGTAAAAAACTGGAAAATATGAATTATATTACCAATGTCGGAGTATCTTCACGCGTACAAGTTGTTGGTCTTCTTTCCTGCGGAGGGTCGTAAAGGAACGATTATTCAATATGTATGAAGTTTATATAGAACATAATATGATTTAAATGAGTAATAAAATCAAATTAATTGCAATTGATATTATACCATATATAAGAAATCGGATACCATAATATACTGCTATTAATCGGGTATGTAAATTAAACATGCACAGCTGTATTCTTTGAATTGAATACAACCCATTGATTTATTTGAATATAATGAATTGATTTATTGAATAGAAGGTGAAAGGAAACAGGCGTGATTTACTTAATAGAAGGTGAAACAAAAGAGGGGCAAAATGGATATTTAACTTTGGCAGAATTGGGTGGTTTTGAAGGGACACGTGTGTCAGTGGTTTTGTTTATTAGATAGGGAGATTTGTACAGAAGAGAAAAAACACACAAAATAAATAAATAAATCATACCTTTTAAACAGGGAAATCGTGGCTGAATAACTTGATACCTAGTAGGAAAAATCATCGCCAATATTTCATCAACTAAATCCATCGAAAACGATATATACATGTTCAAACCAACCGCAGAATCAAAGATTTTAACCTCCATGAACATTAATCAGAGGCTTGCGTGACATAACTTGCAGAAAACGAATAAGAATCCAAAAAAAGTCATACGGAAATACAAAACCGAAGCTTATTCAGCCGCTGACATGCCGCGAGTGTACTATATAGCCCTAAGTCGCTACACATGCTTAGTTCTAGAGAGGGTTAAGTAATAATGTGTTATGGGCTTGACCCATTTCAAAATTACGTTGCCATATTCACCCGGGAGATTAATTTAACAAATTATTAGTTTTTTGATTAATGTCTTTAATGGTTGTCAATAGCTTTTAATTTTTTTAATTATTAATATTTTAATCGCATTTAATAGATAAGTAAATGTCTTTATTTATTTATTTACTTATTTATTTACTTATTTATTTATTTATTTATTATAGATTTCAACCTTATGTAACAATAAGATCCACAGCGGATAACTATTATCAAATATTGATAGGTCGTAACTAAGCCAAAACGGTTGCGTAAATATAAGAGCATATGGTATGGGCAACTTGAAGTGGTGTTATAATAAGAAGCAACAAGATGAGGGGGTGGTGTTCATGGTGTTATAACACCATGTTAAGAGGAGAGAGATAGAGAGAGATAATTTGGCAACCAATAGGTCATCACATTTCTTCTTGTCATGGAGACAACAAGAAGCACCACAACAAGATGCAACAAGGAGGGGGGGGGGGGGGGGGGGCGATGTTTTTGATGTTATAACGGCGTTATGGGCTGCCAACTCAGCCACAACAAGAAGCAACACCAAGAAGCAACACGACCCACACCGTATGCTCTAAGTAAACAAATGATATCATATTAGAAGCTGCGGTGGACATCACATAAGGTGTCTAATATCATTTTACCTGCTTAAAATCATTTTAATGGTGTAATCAAATATACAAGAAAATTATTAGCCTATTAAGGGGGTGTTTAGCTAAACTTATTTAAGCTAATTTTTTAACTTATTACCAGTTCCACACCGGTATAAGTTAAAATAAGTGTTTGGATAGAAATAACTTATCAATGTATCATAACCGGAAATAAGTCAAAATCTATAAGTAACTCCCTCCTAACTTATTAGCTTATAAGTTATTAGCTATAAGTTGAAAAGTACTTATAAAAAGTCATAAGCTTATCCAAACACCCCCTAAGTAATTCTAAAAGATTAGAGACTTTAAGACTAAATTAATAGTTATTGGTGACTGTTTTATGATACCAACACTACATTTTATTAATCTATAAAACGTAAATATATCAAAACCAATCATTTTATGAAATATTTTATTGTCTAATAACAAAAAATAAAAAAAAATATTTTAAATAATTTAAAGAATATTAATGTATTTGTAAAAGATATAAATATGTGAAAAACAAATTGCATTTACATTTGGATTTTTTTTTTCGCTTTTTTTTGTTAGAATCAGTATTTATTTTTCGGATGAATGCTACATTACCCATGCCACAAATTGCTAACATTCAAAGGATTCTCAAGTCCTGATGCGTATACTAAACTATAATGCTAAAATATCTAAATTGACATAGCAGACAATTGTCATCAGTTTCATAATAAGTATGACATCAAGTGAAGTTACACTGAAAAAATGGCATTACCTGCTAAAATAGACAACCTTAAGCAAGAGAGATCCATGACACAATTTAAGTTTCGTTGCTCCAAAATTCCCATATGGTTTATAATCATCCATGCTTACCACTAAACTTCACCATAGCCAGTTAAATGTTGCAAATAATCAATCAAAAAATATGAGGTTCCTACTGCAAATTCAAGCAAACTAACTAACTTTGAGGGTTTATGAGTCATTAGAAAATAATGATAAACTGCATCAATTGTATAGAAACCGATTTAAATGTGCATACATATAGATCATAAGGGTACTTGAAATTCTTGTAACGTCCCAATTTTTAGAATAAAATTTTCATTTTTAAAATAGAATAACACATTTTCATAAAGATAAATCCATATCAAAATCGTTTATTTATAGGCCATAATTCAAAATCAGAGTTATAAGGAAAACCAATGCAAAATATAGAAGCCTATCAAATTGTTTTATCAAAACATATTTATATCTGTAAATATCAATTGTTTTATAAAGCTTAAATCCTTAGGATAATGTAGCTATAGATACCATGCTTAGTTGTAAGCTATGATATTATGCCTAAGAGTTATGATGCCCGATAGTCTAGGAAGAGATAATACCTAGATGTTATAATGAACAAATCCCTAGGATAACATAGTACCTAAAAGTTATAGTGGTCAAATATATGTATATGCAATGTACCTAATCGTTACTCTGCCCAAATATCCATTTATCAAATTAACCATAATTAGGGTATATATCAATGATATATATATATATATATATATATATATATATATATATATATATATATATATATATACAAAATAATTATGGGATAAAAAGATATAATTATCAAATAGAAATTTAATGGAGTTTATATTGTGCTAATTATAGGAATGATAAAAGATAAATACCTAAGGTTAATGTGTTAGTGAGCTGTTAATATTCATCCAATAGCCTTGATTAAATTCAGCTTCCCCGGTACCTATAATCGTTAATCTTACGAGAGCTAGAAAGATTACAATCCAGACATGATAACTTTCTTATTAATCACTATCTGATATCCGATGAAGCATCGTGGCGAGGCTATTATTAATCAAACAACGTCGATTATGGGGGCTCGTGGTAATACACTACAAACACCTTAGAGATCCAACTACCATTACAGACGTCTTAGAATGGTAGATAAAATACGTTAGGGGTTGTTAGATATCCTGCAAAGATAGAAAATTAGATTAATGAAATATCCTAAAAGATAATAAGATAGGATCGTTAGGTATCCTAAAAAGATAGTAAGCTAGGGTTGATAAAATACTTTAGGAAATGTTTTTCTAAAAAGAAAAAGGATTCTAAAATTATTACAACCAAATAAAAGCCGAAAACTATAAAAACGTGTGCACTCACCAACATTATGTTTACGTTTTCAAAATACATGTATTCTCATGGAGATGAGTGTGGATGATAGTTGTTCCGAGAAGGAGGAG